TGTCGCGCACAAGAAAGTTTTTTGACTGGACGAGAAGAGAGTCCTTACGCCTTGAGAGCGTTGGCCTCCTTGAGCAGGTTCTCGAGCTTGTTGCCCTTGAGGAGGCCCTGGATGTCGGAGTTGCCGCCGACGTGCTTCTGGGCGATGTAGCTGTTGGGGACGGTGCGCTGGCCCGAGATCTGCTCGAGGACGTCCTGGATCTCGCCTCCGTCGGCTGGGGTTGCATCTGTCAGTAAAGCTATCCTGCGGTGGTGGGTGGTAGTGATTCAAGGCAAAGAGGGCAAACATACGAAGGAGGTCCAGCTCGACGACCTTGTAGTCGGCGTTGAGCTCGTCGAGGGTGGACTTTGTCTGGCGGCAGTAGGGGCAGTAGGACTTTGAGAAGACGACAACCTTGTTCTCGTCGATGATGGACTGGACCTGTTGCTTGGTGACGGCCATGTTTGCTACGTTTGGGGTTGAGGAGAAGAGGCGGCGGAGGATGAAGGACATTTGGTGGTTGGTTTTGCGACGGGAAGGGGGGGAGGGCTATTGGTGATGTTATAAATGTACGGATACGGGATTGGAAGAGCCGGGGCCGGTGGGTTTATTTGTCAGGCACCGGGGAGTCAGGTACTTGGACGGGTGCTGTGGGAAGGGTGGAGGGGGATGTACAGCGGGAAGGCGGGTTACAGGACAGTGAGGGAGACAGAGGCAGGCTACTGCAGAGTGAACAGGCGCTGGGGGAGTTTTGCGAGGTCGGGGTGGTCGGAGGGAGTGAGTGGATGATGCAATCGGGAATGGGGATTGGAAATGCACCACGGCCGCGGTTCGAGGCAGCGGGCAGCGAGGTAGTGGGAGGTGTGATTTTCTAGTTCCCCGCGGCAGAATTGCGGATTCTCGGGGTCCCGATTTATGGGCGGTCGGGGAGATGTCACAGGCAGGGGACGCTCTACTAACATGAATCACAGTTGTGTTGCCGTGGCTGAGTTGGGTTTGTCATTGTTTAATTCCATCATCCATCATGGAATTTCTAATGTGTGCCGCAGGAACACACCTATCAAGAGAAGCGTCCAATTACGTACAGCCAAAGGCGTTGGTTGAATTTCGCAATGGTGAGAACCTAATTGCGAGTTGCCGTGCCTTGTGATCTGTCAGCAACCAACTCCTGGCGCTGGTGAGGTCATGAGGGCGAATTACTGGCATGGAAAGATCAGAGAACAGAGCAGAAGCCAGACGATAAGGATAAGATAAGAAAGCAAGTGTCCTTATCATCGTCATCCTGGTCCAAGTGCCGGTGGTCTTTGCTCCCGTCTGCTTCGTCCAGGGACTTTCAGGGACTTTTAGAACTTTTAGGGACTGGGATTCAGGGACCTCTCGTCTGAGGCTGTTGGACCAAGTGAAAGACACTCGGATAGATCTATCTCATCACGCACATCTTACCCGCGTCTAGCGCCCGATCGCATCCTTGGGCATCCATCCATACACAGCCGTCCTGGTGAATCTGTCTGCCTCTGAGCGGGTCGGGCTTTTCGCGATGCAAGATCCCTGTCCAAAATCCGAGGTGGCAGGCCCCGAGGCTCAGCCGCTTCGGTTGTTCGCCTAATCCTGAGATGAGGTAAGGCAGCCGGTACTTGCGGCGCACCCAAGATTACAGCAGGGCAGCTCCAGTATCAGGGGAGAGCTTGCTGCCAGCTTGTCCCCATTTGCCACCACCACCAGCTCGTGCCACCTGCCACCTTGCCTTTCCTTCCGCAACTCATCCGAAAATCTTTTGGAAATTCGTCCTCTGCCGCTCTAGACGACGCCATCGCGAACACGCATCACTCGAAGCAAACAAACGACAACATCACCACCGCCGCCACCGCCCCTCCACCCACACGCCTGCGCTACTCGTGTGCTCCGGGCATCTCCCCGCCGACCCATCGCCGCGCCGTCCAGGTACGTCCCAGGTTGCTCGCCCGAATCGCCTCACGCGTGTCCGCTCCAAAGACGCCGTTGCCATCGGCCCGGCCAATGATCACGGCTCCTCCCTCCGCATCCCCGTCATTCGCTGCACTTCCCGGTTTTCCAGAACCTCCTCCACACTGCTGCATTGGATTGGACACACCCAATACTTTGACACATTCACGCACCACCGTCTCTTTGGCTGCTGAGTCTGCCGTCATCCCATAGGGCCGCGCCGTCAGTTGCCAGCTCTGCCCACCACACCTCACCCAGCCAGCCAACCAACCAACCCCTGCCCACCACTCGTTGCCCGTCTCTGTCGTCGTCTCGTCGCTCGTTTCTTTCTTCGTTGCTGCTCTGCACTGCGCTGCGCTGCTGCTCACGCTGCTCACCAAAGCTGACACCCCCTTCGCTGGGCTTCTTTTCCAGTCCTCTCCTCCAACAGCCTCACCTCACCACGCTCTCCTCCCGGATCCTTGACCCAGGCTGGTGATCGCCCACGCCAGTCCGCCGGTAGCAACACCCTCACGACCACCCTACCTTACCTTGACTACGGATACATACGCACGACTGCCTGTCTTACCCCACTGCTCGGCGTCCTGCATCGACTACCTACACTACCTTACCTGGCCCAAGATTGCCTGCGCTGCTTTGCCTGCTGCAGAACGGCCTGATCTGCCAACCCCGCGAGTCGGAAAATCCCAGTCCCAGACGAGGCAATACCCCACGACACCACGATCATCCACCGTCGTCGTCCGGAGAATCGCTGTCGCCGTCCGGTCCTCCTCTCCAGCCTCACTTCCCCCCCTCCACCCCTCCTCCACTTTCCTTCTTTTCCTAGACTGCGTCCTTAGCTTTAAGGACCGCCTACTCCCGCCAAGGTGGCTTCCAGTCAGCCTCTTCTGGCATCTTCTGGTGCCCTGTCCAACATCACAGCATTGCTGCCCACCTCCCTCCAGCTCTATCTCGACAAATCCATCGCCAGCCTAGCCGCCCTCATCGCTGACTATTCCGACTTCCTCTCCGATAAAACCGGTGTCGACCCGAACCTCATCCTCTACAGCACCATTGGCTGCATCCTGCTTGCCGTGCCCTTCACCATGTCTAGATACGGCTGGTCCACGAATCGGGAGCAGATATCTCCCTACACCTCTACCATGAGCGGTGTCCCCGACGTCACCGACGAGGACTTTAGCTACATCACCACCGAGGACCTCCAGTCTTCCTCCCTCGGCAGCTCCGTCCCCACGAGATCGTATGCCCACAACCCGAGAAGGACCAGCGCCCCCGTCCCCGAGGACGACGTGCTGCTCATCAAGAACAAGGGCGTCACCTACCCCACCCACTTCCCCGCCTACACCATTGGCGACGGCAAGCTTCGCGTTCGCGATGTGCGAGACCGCGTCAGCGTCTTGTTGGAGCTGTCGGAGCGCCGCGGGCGCAAGGTCAAGCTGCTCTACAAGGGCCGCCAGCTGAAGGATGCCGCCGCGCCGGTGCGGGACTACGGTGTCAAGAACAACAGCGAGGTCATGGTTGTGCTCCCCGACGGCGACCTCGAGCCCGAGAGCAGCGACGACTCGGACGAGGAGATGGTTGTGGTGGCTGGCGACGGTGGCAGCACTGTCGGCAGCGCCGCGGGCACCGACGACGGCAAGAAGCGCCGCAAGGGCAAAAAGGGCCGCAAGTCGAAGAAGGGCGGCCGAAGCAGCAACCATACCAGCCCTCGCGATAGCGCATCAAATCTCGGCGTCCCGGGCACCGACGCTGGCAGGTCGCCCACGCCCATCAGACAGGCCAATGGACCCCACGCCAAGCTGGATGCCATTGCGTCGCACTTTGAGACGGAGCTGCTCCCGCTCTGCGACAAGTTCATTGCGGCACCGCCGACGGACCCCAAGAAGCGTGAGGACGAACACCGCAAGCTTTCCGAGACGACGATGCAGCACGTTCTGCTGAAGCTCGACGAGGTCGAGACGGAAGGAGACCAGGAGGCCAGGGCGAAGAGGAAAGCTCTGGTCCAGCACGTTCAGGATGTTTTGAAGCGTCTAGACTCTAGACTGCGCTAAGATACGTTGATACGTTCACAAGATACCCGGCACTGTACAGGCCCATGGTGTCTTGGACAAGATGGTACTACTAAGAAGAATTTGGGATTGATTGCGAGACGCATGGGAGGTTTTCTTCGGTTTTCTGCATCTTTCAGCGAGAATTGCATCTAGAGCCGCGTAGACAGGCGGTCAGCACGTTCAGGGAGGCTTGTGTTTGGTACGATACGAAGTTCGTCACCCGTAAGTTATCACGGTTGCCTCAACCGGGTTGGCGAGGCGCATTACTGGCGCCGTAGTAGACAGGAATGGCAAAATGGCCCAAGGTTTTTCTGGGATCTTCACTCTAGCGATGGCGCACATGATGGTGATGTGGATTGGATGCGGCCCTGAATCTTGTATCGCAGGCGTGTCGTCCAAGCAGGGCTGCAGCGTGACGTGAACATCATGGGCAGTCAAGGGGACATCCTGGTCGGGCGCTTGTGGACTTGACGTCGGCTTATTCAGCAACGGTCGTCGGTCGACGGTTTGGTATGGATTCCTCCAGGTTGTGTCGATCGGGGGGAGTCAAGGCCAGGTCCAGTCCAGAACGGTGCCCCGCCTCAGTGTCGGGTCCGGGCAGTCCACACCGAGGTGAGCATCCCCTCCGCTGTTCGGTCGGGGCGTCGGTGTGCTTTTGGTAGGTCTCGTTGCCCTAACCTGCCTCAGGCGCGAATCCAACCCTCGCTTGCCGTCCAGCCCGCCTTGCCCAATGCGGCTAGGGCGGTTCCACCCGGTGCACTCACAGCAGGCGGCACGGGGGCTTTCTTTCTGCAATTTTGTGTGCGAGCAGTGACCTGTGTGTGCCAAATTTCTCCGCCCAGCTCCCGAATTCAAGATTGTCGCGACGACCTCTTCCCAAACTTACCATCCGACATCCTACTAACCCCAACGGCAGCACCCAGCCAGCGACAAATCTCTAACCGCCCAGAGGTTTGCAGTTCACCTTCGTCCCTTCCCTTCATTTTCAGCACAAAAGGAACAGGAACGATGTCCTCTTTCGAGCCGGTGGTGAGTCTCCTCCCGTCCATTGTGTTCCATTCGACATTTCGAGGTTTCGCGAGGGGGATTTGGTGGTCGCCGATCTGAGGGTTCTCGAGATGTGATTTGTGTGGGCGGACGCCACAGCAAGAGGAGGGCACAAGAATGCGCGACGGCACGGTCGCAGGAGAGGTGGACGGTGTTTGCTGTCGCTGTCGCCGCGGCTGCTCGACATGGAGGTTGCCGCTTCAATCGAGAGAACCTTCATGTCCCGCCGACACACGCACACGAACATGACGCCCGGTTGCAGATCGCTAACTCGAACGCCAACAGGTCGTCGTTGACGGCAAGGGCCATCTCCTTGGTCGTCTCGCCTCTATCGTTGCCAAGCAGCTCCTCAACGGCCAGAAGGTCGTTGTCGTCCGCTGCGAGGCCCTCAACATCTCTGGCGAGTTCTTCCGTGCCAAGCGTATGTCGAATCCCATTCCCCGCGTCGCACTCAGTCAAAGATCATTAGAAGAAGGACAATACTAGTCCAGGCACGAGAAACCAAGACTGCAGTGGACGTCGGCTCACCTCCACGCAACATACTGATCAGATGCCTACAGTCAAGTACCACGCCTACCTCCGCAAGATGACCCGTTACAACCCGACTCGCGGTGGTAAGCCTCTACCCCTCCGATTGCAGACAACCCCCCGCTCGATCGCAGTCTGACCCCCCGTCTAGGTCCCTTCCACTTCCGCGCCCCGTCGAGAATCTTCTACAAGACCGTCCGCGGCATGATTCCCCACAAGACCGCCCGTGGTGCTGCCGCCATGGAGCGCCTCAAGGTCTTCGAGGGTGTCCCTCCCCCCTACGACAAGCAGAAGAAGATGGTTGTCCCCCAGGCCCTCCGCGTCCTCAGATTGCAGCCCGGCCGCAAGTTCTGCACCGTCGGTCGCCTCTCCCACGAGGTCGGCTGGAAGTACCAGGACGTCGTTGCCAGGTGGGTTTCTTTTCGACACCAATTTTCGATCGTTCAACTAACACCGCCACAGACTTGAGGAGCGCCGCAAGGCCAAGGGTGCCGCTTACTACGAGCGCAAGAAGGTCGCTCAGCGCCAGATCACCGACGCCAAGAAGAACGCCAAGGTCGACCAGAAGACGGCGCAGGCCCTCGAGGCCTTCGGCTACTAAACGTGGCCGCTTCGAAACTTCCCTCTCGGGTCTGACGACGAGCGTCTCAAGCTGCTTCTGCTGACGTGCTCCGGGAAGCTCGGGGGTTAATCCTCGTTCCCTCTTGCATCCTAGCACCCGGCGGCGGTCACGATACCACATTTGACGATCTACGGAGGGAGTTTTGCTCGCGCATTTCTGTCCTCTTCCTCGTGCTTCCTCATAGATGGCGTGGCGGTTCAAGGGAAATTCTTCATTTTGCTGATGGCACAATGGGCTGGTCATACTGGAGCGGCGGGGGAAAAACACACATCAACGCACTACTTCATTGGGGGGAGGGGAAAAAATTGACTTGTGGTGAGTCTCTGGGGTTTCCGAGGGACTCGCTATGGGGAGGACATTTGTTTCGTGTTCATCCCCGAGGCGGTCTCGTAACAGGAAACCCGTTCCCCCTACATTTTTCTCGCAATAAGTCACAAGAGAAATCAATCAAGATGATTCATGTCCACAAAAGGTGTGCGGGTGTTCTGCGAATCAAAATGGGCAATGGGAATTGATTTTTATGGTACAAACAAGAACAACCTTTTCCACATTTGCCTTCCGCCCACACATGTAAACCGTTTCTCTTCCTGTCCTTTGAGCAAGGTGTGTGGTATGTGTGGGATCTCCTCGGCCTTCCATGTGTATTTTCCCACGGAACAAGCTGTAGTCCAGATGAGGCGATTGAGGAATGGACGGGAAAGAGATCATGATCAAAAGAAAGAGATAGTATACCACGGAATTTGGGAGGAAACAACCTGGCGAGGCGTCTTGTGCTTGCATAGAAGTAATTGATTCATTACAATCATGGTGAAGAAGCCATGCGAGTGAATGATGGTTCACGAGTGGGCGATGACGTCCGCTTCGTGTTTACCGTGCCCCGCCGCCAACGGCAAGACGTGTCGGCCATCGCGAGGAGACGCGTGTGCTCGTGTGCCCTACCCGCGCCCTAAGATGGTGTCTGCTGGGATGCGGGCTCTTTGTCGTTAGATGGCGGTGGGATTGCGTACCTTGAGGGCGGATTGGGGTTTCGAGTGCTGCCGAGGTGAAGGTACGACGTCGCAGAACCCAGACTAGAGCACTGGATCTACTACGTCTGAGAATCTGCGAGACAATGGAGATTCATGTGAAAGTCTGCGGAGAAGATATGTCACCGGGCACGTGTTGCTGGTTCGAGGCGCGGTCGCTAGGAAGGCGGCGAGCCGTACGTTCGCGCTTCATAGCGTACTAAAGGACAATTTGTTTCAACAACGGGCGAATGGTTTAGTGGTATAATACTCGCTTAGCATGTGAGTGGTCCAGGGTTCGATTCCCTGTTCGTCCATTGTTTTTGCCTTTCTCCAGTTCTAGGCTTGGTCGTCTTTTAAACTTGTGAGCTCCGTTTGTGGACTTTACTTTTTGGTTAATGGTTGATGCATTTGTAATCTCGCCGCAGGCCATGTTTGTTGTTTTCTTTTGATGCAATCGGGGAGCTGTGCGCCTGTGCTCGTTCGCTGGCAGGTGCAATATTGGCAGGTCCTTCAATGCTCAGAAGGTGGGACCGTGCCTGCGATTCCCATATCAAAGACCCCACGACGCAGCTCAAGAGTCGATAAGATGGCTTCGTCCGCGCCACAGACACCAAAAAAACCCGGTGATGAAAGTCATGACGATCGAGTCAATCCAAAAGCCCAGGAGACGATGACCACGCACTCCGGGAGGGAAGATGTGGGCACGCGTCAAGCTGGCGAGCCTGCCCCTCCTCCTGGCCGAGAGGCTGATGACGTTGCGGCGAAGAAGGACAAGTAAGTTTCACACATTCTCTCCCTATGATGCTCTTTCCTGGATACCCTGGAGTTTATTCGTTGATTGCGCTGGACTGACGTCGCGTGAGCAGGGAGTTCGAGGAGGCTTCGGCGGTGGTGGCGCGCCACGTCAAGCTGCTGCGGGAGTACAACGAGATCAAGGACGTGGGACAGCAGCTGATGGGTCTGGTTGCTGAGAACCGCGGGGCGACGGTGGGGAGTTTGTATGAGACGGGGGAGTTTGGGGTTGGGCCGAAGGATTGATGGTGGATGATGGTCGGAGTGGGGAGGTGGTTTCGACTTGGGGTGATAGAGCAGACATACGCCAATTGTACGGTTTAAAATGCGAGCAGTTGATTTTCATGGCTTTCTTGAAGAGAATTTTGATGTAATGAGCGCAGAAAAGTGTGTGGTTGATGACGAATAAATTTTGTAGGTTGTTTTTGTCGAATTCATATAAGTAAACCCAATTTTGAACTCGCTCCAACCATTATTCGGCCACGCCAAATTGAATGCAACCCTTTGCACACCTTAAAGGCCAAGAAAGATAGAACTTCACCGGAATTGCAAGATAAATATCCGTTCTTCTTCCCTCTGTACAAACACCGAAGAGCTGCTCTCGTGAACTGACCTGGCCAAACCGACCTGGCCCTTGAAGCCCCTCGGAGTGCCCTAGGTCTTTGGAGCCATCAAAGCCAAAGCCTTGAGAAAACTCCTCCTAGGTCTCTGAATCAACCTTAGATATAGCCGAGATGATCTGTGAACATGTCGAGGCATGGGTCAGTCTTTCCTGCGTCCGAGTTATGAAGGAGATCTCAACAGGTAGCTCTGGAGCTTCGCAACTTCCATTGCGACTTCTACTATACTTCATAAGATACGCTCTGGATGAAGTTGCTGTATTCTTCAGCCCAGAGGTCATCCCCCAATTCTTCTTGACAGCCGGTCCCTTCGAGTTCCTCCCTGATCTGATATGACATGGAGGAAGGGAGGAATTCCAACTGCTCCTCTTCCAAAAGGGACTCGTATGCATTTGGCGGCGTGTTTCCGAATCCTAAAGTCGACATTAATGCCTCAGAAGGGTTGTAGAGCTGCCCGATGAGATCTATCGTTGAGTCATGGTTGTCTTCTAATGCCCCCTCTGAGGGCTTATCGAGCTCCTTCATGTCCTCTTTCGTCAATCCGAGTATCTCATCCGATACCAGCGCTTCCTCTGGCGGGCCTTCTTCCTCAGGAAGCTTCCCTTCATTCAGCTCAACATTACTTTTTAAGGCTCCTTCAGAGGAAGACTCTTCTTCTTTCGGGGTGTCACCCTCCGCCGAGTCTCCGACATCCGATTCACTAACGTAATACCTTCGAACATATTGAACGACTTCATGTCTCCGAAAGATGAAGGGAAGACACACATCTTTGGTAGACAGGAGGGCCTCATCAGCTTCGGTCCATCCTCCGTGGGATTTCAACAGCTTCACGATGGCATGGTGCCCCTCTTTTTCCGCCAACGCGACCGATCTAACATATTGCCGTCGGCCGCACCCGCCAATCTCAACCCCAGAATTGAGCAATAATTGGACAACGTCCAGTCGCCCATGTTGAGCTGCACGTTCGATAGCAGTCCGACTATAAGGAGATTCACCCCCTGATGCGTTGGGGTCAGCCCCTAGTTCCAGTAACCTCTGAACTATGCCAAAGTGTCCGAGCTCTGCTGCGAGTTGGAGTGCAGTTCCACAGGAGGAGGAAAGCTCATTAATGTCCGCGCCACATTCGATGAGTTCTTGCATCAGGCCAGACCAGCCCTTCTGGATGGCTTCTTGTAGCGGTGTCAAAGGGGACCAGAATGCTGTAATCATTGGCGCAAGAGGCTCCAGCCGGTCCAATCTTTCGTTCAAGTCAACTCCAACAGAGAGAAGCCATCTGACGATCTCATTATCCTCGCTTCCAGAATATGAAATAGCTTGTCCAAGGACTCTTCCTGTCATCTTGAGTCCAAGACTATGTAGAAATTGAAGGATGTCGAGGTCCACATTGGCGCCACAAAGAAGACCAAGAGTACTTGTAGGTCCTGGATGATATCCATAACCCACAAGCAGCTTTAAAAAGTCTAGTTGACTTGAAGAAACAGCAATTTCAAATATGGGCCGGCGAGGGGTTGGCTGGTGATCGGGGGAGTGAGTCCGCAGCGCTCTTCGCCAACTCAGATAGCTGCGGGTAATAGAATCTGCTGATGTAGAAAGCAGAGATTTCCTCAGCTTTTGATACGTGAAACACCCATCTATTCGAAAAGACCAAGCTGTCTCAGGATGCAGACCAGAACTCAGTATCAAATGAGGGATTTCCATACACTGCAAATGTACTGCAAGGCATAACGCCGTTCCGACCCAAGTCTCGTCAGACGCTAGCAGCCGAGAAGTGTACGTCAATAGGTGTCGTACGATTGTGAAGTTATCGGTTGCTTTTGCCAAGCAGACAGAGGCACACAGCGCTTGACCAGTGACTGATCGTTCATCTGCTGCGATGACTCGATGCACCAAGTTTGTGTTTTCCGAAAGTATTGCAGCTTCTAGAGTCGAGTCGGTGCCGAAGAGTGTGCACTCATCTTGAAAGGAAGCTCCTTTGTCAAGAAGGCTTCCAATAATCTGAAATTGACGATTCCAAATGGCCATCACTAGCTCCCCACCAACAAGTACAGCTCCTGCAGCCAAGAGACGAATGGCGCTAGCAGTATTGCCTCCGAGCAATGCAGATTGAAGAGCAGTCCTACCGAGACTACCGTTCATTTCATAATGCCAATGAGCTTCGCATGAGAAACGCATGGAGTTGACGTCTGCAAAATTAACCCGGAGATATGTTGGGCGTGGGTGGCAGAAGTTGACATCAGCACCTTCGTTTAACAATTGCTGGACCATGCTCACATCCGAGAACGAGGCTGCCCATTGAAGTGGCGTAGCTGCTTCATGGCGAGGTTCAAAAACGGCACCAATGCGCAATAGCTGCTTGCATAAATGGATGTCCCCCCGATACGCAGCTGCGGTCATCGGCGTCTCCGGACAGTAGCCGCATGAGTTGACAAAACTGCTGCAGCCGGCTATTAAGTCACCAATGAAGCGACTGTCGGTCCTGATTGACGTAATGAGGAGCTGTGACCTGGCCGCCGGACTGCTCTCACAGAAGGTGGACGCAAAGAATTCGATTATAATCTCTGTCAATGAGGTGCCAGCTGTGTGACTCATCCGAAAGAGCAGACTGACAGCTTGTGTCTCATCTTGTGGACGGAAGCGGTAGATTGATAGTAGAATCCTTATAGTTTCCTCTGGAGAACCCTTGGATGTTTTTCGCTGTAGCCACGCCACGATTATAGTATCAATACCGATCTTTCCAGTGTCTGCTCCATGTTTGAGGAGAATTCGAAGTAACTCAGGATGATTTGAATGCGCCGCATGTTGCAGTGCAGTACCATAATCCTGCTGCAATGTAAAAGAACCAAATGTGCGAAATGGACCGTGGAAAGAAGTGTTGACATCAACACCTGCTTGAAGCAAAAGTTCGACAGCTCCAACATCTGAGGCTTTGATGGCTTCCCTGAATAGGCCGTCTAGTGAAGACTGTAAGCTCGGCAGTAGCGTCGAGTATTGGCCTTTTGCTAGCACATTCGAACCGCTTTCCCGAAATAAACGGAGGAGCAAGTGCATGACTGCGTTTATTGATTCGTGTGGCATAAAGGGGCTTTCGTTTACGAGAAGGTTGTTTGACAGCAGAAACACTAGACAAACGAGAAATTCCGCATTGGTGGTTTTGGATCTGACTGTCTGTAGTAGGCCTTGAGCACTAACAGCATGGCTACGTTCAGAGTCTTCGGGCATAATTGAACGGAGTATTTGGTATGCTCGCCTAAGCTGTGCCGTGTAGCTCCGTAGCTCGTAGTTTGAATATAAGATGGAGGCAACCGGTCCTTCATATGAACCATTCGAAGAAGCGCAGGAGATGCTCATTGATTTTACTCTGACTGCGAAACCTGTACGTATACTGATCAGTACTCTTCCCAACTAAGGTAAATGACAAAGAGAACTACCCTCAATAAGCCTCTTGGAAAGAAGCCACGGTATGGTGCCCAATTTGCACTGCCAATTTATCTCTTCAGGCGTCGGTGTGCACACAAGGAGTGGCTGATCTTCCGGCATAGGCGGCTCTGGCGCATCTTTCCTAGTTAGCTTGATGCTGTGATTGTTAACGTGGATAATACTTACGGCGCGTAGCCTTCTCGATGGCAGTCTGGTAACAGTATCTTGAAACCCCCCTCTCGATGGCCTTCATGCGCAAAGGTATGCCTGAGAGGTAGACCTTGCTTTCTTTGCCTCTACACTTTCGCCGATGGATCTCGTTGGCAACATACTTCCAATCCATAATTCCCATGTTCTTGGTGAAATGCCACTGTTTTAACTTCCACTCCAGCTGTGCTTTGCTATCACGATGCATTAGATACATCAATGACTTTCCGGCATGTGCATATGTTGCCAAAGAGCTTTAGAGGTAGCACTCACCTTGGATAAAAGCTGTGGAAAGTACCCAGAATGAGGAGAACATCTTTTAGACTCCGATCCTCTTCGAGATAAAGCTTCCGAATGGTGGACCTAAGACGCTCCCAATCCTCGTCGCGGATGCTTCTCCGAGGCGGCATAGTGAAAGCCGAGAAGGGATGCCCCCGTGATGTGCATTCGATACTTGCGGTCTTCAGGACGCAGAGGGATTCTCGCCCTCCGGAACAAGTCGAGAGCTCATGATTGTGGCCCCAGCCTGATTTTATATTCCTCTCGGAATGCAATCTGCTAGCAAGCTGAGAAGCGATCTGATTGGGCGCAACCAAAATCCGACATGTACATGTACGTACTGATGGTGGGTGTCTAATGACTGATCATCAGTTTCGCCGTATTGGCTGCCGCCAAAATCCGAGTGAGGTCTGTATGCATGTAAGCATGCTGTAGCGAATGGGGCCTCTTGCTGTGAGCAGTGTGGTTGGGGCAGACAATACATCTCAAATGCAAGCTGGGCAATGCGAAGGCCTTTCATTGACTGAAAAGATTCAGGGCGAACGAACCAGGGCGAACGAACCAGGGCGAACGAACCAGGGCCATTCTGTCATAGACTTGCCCTGTGTGACAGATTTTGATTGGGTTATCAATCGATGCATCTTGGCATCAATTCGGTTGGTCGTTGACGACCCTCGGTAAGCAGCAGCCCGCTCTCCATTTCTCACGATGCCATACCCAGGTTGAGCAGGATTGAAGTCGACGAGCGTATGAACTGCCTACGTGTTCATGTGAGTTGGGTCGACCCAATGCCTGTCTACAGCAAGATATCAGGTACTCAACAGGCGAATGTGTTGCCTTCGAGTGACTTACATACCAGTACTCATTAAGCAACTCGTGCGGAGGATGAAAGGCAGAACCGACCCTGAAATGAATTGATGAAGTGTGCGAGGATCGAGATCTAGCCGTGCAGCCGAAGTTTCCAACGAATAAGACATGTACGCCTCTATCCACAGCTCATCCCCCAACTGTTTCAAGAAATCTTCCTGCTGGAAATAGCTTCTTGCTTGATAGTATGCCACCCAGAGAAAACCTTGAACCGTGGTATGGCCACAAAACATTTGGCGGTCCCCTAATACTCATGGGACTCCACTAGTTGCGTCGTTCACGTTCACAGCCTGCTATGGAATTGCTAGAGAACCCCAACGCTTGAATCATACAAATAATCCTATGAGGCATTGAGGTAGGTATGTACTCGTGGCGCAGTGATGAATCAAGTGTTTGAGGCTCCCTGAAGCCGGAGCGGTATCAGCGAAGAAGCGAGACCTGTTCCAAGACTAAGAACGATAGATGTGGATGAGTTTCATCCACCGAGCCGATTCCATGAGTGGGCCTAAAATGGTATTCGGGCCGGTGTGGGGCCGCCCTCCGGCCGTGAGCTGAGCCGGCGCCTGATTCTTAGGTGGCAAAGAAGCACCGCGGAAGTATGGTTGAAGAGCATTGTGGTCACATGAAGTTTCAATTGATATGTACGTCTATTGTAAGTTATATATGCCTTGGAACAGGCTGCTGACTGCGAAGCTTCGGTTTATGTAGAGAGCCAGTCAACCAGAACGTCGTGGAACTCCTCAGGGTGCGAGATCTGGGGCGCATGTCCAAGATCAGGGAAAGTGTGCAGGGTAGAGTTGGGGATCTGAGCAGCAACTTCAGGACCAAGGACGTCAAAGTGACCCAGCTTAGCAGCGACATCAGGAGGAGACCACTGCTTGCCGATGGCGGTGTTATCCTTCTCGCCGATGATGAGTAGGGTGCGCGGCTTGACGAGAGAGAATTCCCAGCTGACAGGTTGCGTCAAGACAAGGTCGACGATCTGCGCCTGGTTGAGCGCATAGGTCTTGGCCTCGGACCCCTTGTAGATGTTGACGAGCATCCTGACCCAGACGTCGTACTCATCCTTCCACTCGCCCACGTAGTAGGTGGCCTGCTCGTATCCCTTTATGGACTCGTAGGAGCTGGCAGCTTCCGTGGCGTAGTTGTCGTCGATGGGAAGATAGGGCACGCCGAGAGCCTTGTAGTCCTCGAGACCAACGGGGTTGACAAGTACCATCTCGTTGACTTGGTCGGGGTACATCAGCCCGTAACGGGTGGTGAGCATGGCGCCCATGGAGTGACCGATGACAGTGACGTTCTCGATGCCGAGGGTCTCGAGCAGACCATGGGTGTTGGTCGCGAACTGTTGAAGGGAGAACTGGTAGCGCTCGGGCTTAGACGACTTGCAGAAGCCAATCTGATCCGGCGCGATGACGCGGTAGCCCTTCTGGGCGAGGACGCGGATGGTGGTCTCCCATGTCGGGCCGCAGAAGTTCTTGCCGTGGAAGAGGATGGCGGTCTTGCCGTTGGGCTCGCACTTGGGCTCGATGTCCATGAAGGCCATCTCGAGCTCCTGAAGCTGGGAGGTGAACTTGTAGAGCTTCACGGGCCAGGGGTAGGTGAAGTTGGACCCATTGAGGTCTTCGGGGAAGGACTCTGAGTTGGAGTCGATGGTGCCCTGGGCCGAGACGAGGGCGGCGCCCGCGGCGGCGACGGTAGCGAGGAGGGAGAAGAACTTCATTGTGACGACCCTAGGCAATGGTCAGCTCTGGATGATAGAAGTATGGCTGACCGACATCGTCTATCCTGGCAGCAGCTCCTAGAATGCAGAGGCAAGAGAGCTATTGACTGCTTCACGACGCGACAATGGTACAGCACAGGCCCCGGAGCCGATTGGCACCTCGGGGCCGCGGATTGAGACAAGTGGAAGCTTCCTTACCTAGATACGATGACAGCTCAACCTAAACCTGTCCCAAGGAACCCCGACCGTTGACGTGAGCGGCTGGTGCGTGCGAGAGTGCGATCATCTAATAGACTTCGGCCCAAGACGGGCGAGTCTGTTTATATTGCCTCTCCATTGAGTGGCACGGCTGGGTCACCAGGGACCAACAGACAGACACACACGTGTGTTGGTACCAACGTGGTGGTGTGCATGCTGTACGAGGGAGGGGGCCCATGGACATGGAGAGGGATGGACGCAGGTGTCATGACGCCGTGCCCGTTCGCTGCAGCAAAACAAGAACAAGAATGCTTCGATAGCTTCCACTCCAGTGGCTCAGTATCGCACTAATTTCCGCTTTTCAGTGGGCCGGACGGCTCTCGGATCCGCTGGCGAGAGACCCTGGACGGTGGGTTGGCGCCATTCCTCGATGCGCGGCCGCTGTTGAGGATCACGGGCCGGAGTTGTTCGGTATGTTGGGTGAGATGGCGCCGGGGCTATGGTTTGAGGTGAGACACAAGGGACTTTGGGTCTTTCTTTGGGTGCCGAGAGAATGATGACAGCGACAATGACACATTGTTTGAGGGAAATTCGATAGAAACTCTTCTCATCAGTGGCGAGGTGCGCGAGGTCACATTGCTCGACGCCGCTGGCTATCGATGCTCATTCCTACGACCCTGGTCCTGTGCTAGTCTGGGGAAGCATGCTGAGATCATATCGGATGGGCGCACGAACGGTTGGTCTTGCGCCGGGAATAACCACATGAAAGGAATGCTGCTGGTCCAGATCAAAATGTTACTCAAGAACCAGATATGACACTGGGCACGGACAGCGAGACACACAACGGACCAAGATGCAAGGATTCCACTGGGCGATGGTGAGATTTGGACTCTAAGGGACTTTGGTCATGATGAGAGGGGCTCTGGCCCATACAATGCGCTGTCTGCTTTTTATCTCATCGACGCAATCTGTAGGCTGCAATGAGATATGGAGCCGTTGCAGACTTACCTATGCAGCATAGATAAAGGTTCGCGGGAAAACATATCTACTGTGCGTCTTATGAAGCTGGGAGCAGCCGAAGACTCTGAACACATGTCCATCTCTCTCCCACGACTATGTGAAAGCTGTAAGTGCTGCTGGACCTTGACCGGACGCGACACGGGCGCCTAAGAAGCATCCCGGCTAATATCAGAATTTTCTCCTCGTATCCCTTCGCGAATTTCTGGACCGAGCCCACTGCAGTCTGGTCATATCTTCAGGTGAACAACGAAATCAATTTCCTTTTCGACTGCAGAAACTCATCTGGAGCAGTCGGTGGACGACCAGGATGTCCGCAGCGTTAGCGCATCGTCCCGTTGACCCGCGGTCGGCCGCCAATGATGGGATGGGCCGTTCTCTCAGAAGGGTGTCTTTGTCCGATTGTTCCCTGTCAAGCCCACCAGGAACAGCGTGTTGGGGGTTGCACTTACATGCTTGGGTGTCATTAAAGCCACAATTAGGGCCAGCAGATCGGGGGGATGAAGACACAGGCCAGTGATCTTGAACCGAAATTCTTCACACCTTCGTCACCTGCATCGCCGGTGTCCCAATAGGGAAGGACAGACGAGGAGGATTCGCAGCCCTGAATTCTGCAGCATCGAGAGAACAGCAGACGAGAAATGAAGACAAAAGGACATGTCATGCCAAGAGAGAAACACCCTTGAAGGCTCCCTCATGCGGGCCGCGCAAACCACACCACATGTTGGTGAACATCGCTTCCGAGAGAGGAAGCCCAAGTCCGAGCAAGGTCACTGACCGAGGTGTTATTGAAGTACACCATGAACGCATCAAGGTGGCCAAGCGGTTGGTCGCTCAACGCCAATAAACGTAATAGATGCGAAGAGCCTGCTTCCAGAGGTAGGTGGTATCGCCAGACCTATACTGCTTTCATGCACACCTATATTCCATCTCAATCCCTCCGAAGTGGCTGCGACTATTGTCGAGCTATTCCTCGGGTGTGAGATCTCAATCGGCTTCTTCGGCTGCAACGACATTGAACGGGCTGGCTACCCGCCATACAGACTTCGCGGGAGCGGGAATGCGCACCGGACGTTGGCGCCACCCAGCCCTCCGCCGCCCACAACACACTAATCGGATGCGATATTAGGGCTCTAGTATTCAGCTATTAATGATCTCAGGGCGCACAGACTGGTGGTCTTCGGGCGATGCGGATACGGCGGGAACTTTAAACGAACTATGCTTGATGGTACCCTGCCATCATCAAGTTCATCCAAGATGAACTACATGCCTTGTAGAGACGACCACGGCGCGTAATGTTCAAAGACATCACCCTCAGTTGTCAATGTGTTCAAGCAGCTTACTGAGATCTGACATGTGCGACCGCTGCCGGACCAGCGGCGCCAACAGATGTTGCGCGGAAAGCTTCGTGAAAACTCTGCGGGAGTAAGAGGATTCCGTGCCCTGCCAACAAGGGAAAACCCCCCTCTTCGCGAGAATCACCTGCGCCGCATCGGCTCATCAATACTGCGGTTGGGACAGCTCCGCTGTAGAGTCCCGTCACCCCCGCCTTCATCTGATGAATTCCTAGGCCCAAACAGCTGGAGTCGTCAGCCCTTCAGGCCTCCGAGAATGGACACTCGGGTCTTTAGGACATGGTGGCGGAGGATCGGGACAGCTGATGAAAAGCTGAAATCAGAAAAGAAATTTTCGCCCACGCCATATCTGAGACCCTGCCAGACCAGCATCGATAGCGCAGACCACTGTGCGCCTCATTTCTTCTGGTCAGACTTTCACCGACGATCGAGTTGGGTAATGGCTTATCGCTCTGCAAGGGGAAGTCTAGCCTCTATCGTTCAGCAACCCGATGTCCAGTTATCACCGTGCTACACCGGACGGTATCTGAGAACAGAGGACAAGCCAGCTGAATGAAGGATTATCACTGCCAGGAACAGGTTCGTCGCACGTCTCTCGACTTGGAATTTCGACTGCCCACCCTCCCTTACAGTGGTGTGCAGCCTGCGCCTTTCGTGCATGGTCATTTTGGACGAATATTACTTGTTCATTCGTTCACAGTCCTCCCGGATGTTAGTGACAGCCCCAATATACGCCTCACTAATATTGGGTCAAACTGCGCTCCTGTTTCGCATCAAAACATAGTACTGCGAGGAGGAAACGCATATGCAAGGTCGCTATCACTTTGAAAATAGCGTACCGTATTCATTTGCCGACATCTTGATAACGCCGAAACCTGAAGTGCTCCAAAGTCGGATGTTTAATGGTGGTGGGAGCTTCAGGCCGGCTCGGACTCTGGCCCGAACACTTCGGGGGCCATTCTCTTTCGTACCCATCTCCATGCTGGCCCTTCTTTTTAACCGCAGCGAGCAGGGATTCCAAGGTGGCTCTCCCGCGTTCTCTCGCGATCGGTAATCTCAGTACCGTCCGCTCTTTGCACATCTGCTCGCATCTTCAGCATCCATGTGGCCCCCAGCCCGCCCCTTTCTCTCCATCACCTAACGCTCATCGTACATGTGCCCGATTCCTACTTTCTCGGCGCCGATACCGTTGCCCCTCACGGCGCTGCAGTAGTCTGCAGATTGACAAGCCGTTGCATGCCACCACCATCATCTCCGTCTACCTTGCAGAGGCGGGAGCAAAAGAAAAGAAAAGAAGCTTACTGCGGACGCGCACATGTACCTGACAACCAGCATGGAGAAGGGATCCTCCCTGCCTTGGCCACCCAATGAAAAGCCCGTCCGTCCCTAACGCTCCGGATGCCTACCGAGTACTTGGCCCAGACGGACGGCCAGTTTTTTTGCAAGTCAAACCAAGACACCCCTCCCAAGTGGAATGTTGTGGCAGGAGCCTGGCATCCTGGGCATGAACATATAACTAGACCCGTTCTCCAGGACCCGTCCATCCCGGCCGTTCGGATTGTGCTGATGTCGGACGTTGGTTGCTCTCTGGAATTCGTTCTCGCAGATCAGACCCTTCGAGGTCTGCCAGCCTCAGCACACTGTCGGACAGACTTTGCTTGATCGAGGCATATTGTTCACCATGGTCGACGGCAACATTCCTGACGAGAGCAATGCGCTCATGGTCCGCGCGCCGGCCATCATCTTCTTCGTCCTCACGCCCATCTTCGTTGGGATTCGGTTCTGGTCGCGTATTAAGATGAGATCAGGATTAGGATGGGACGACTGGACAATCTTGTTCTCATTTGTGAGCTCTATTTGACGTTGTTCGCGGTCACTATAGCTGATATGATTTAGGTCTGTTGCCTACTTGTCTCAATCCTGATGATGGTCTCATGCGAATATGGCTTTGGTCAACACATCAAGAACCTGTCCAAGCCCAATAAGATCATGACATTGAAGGTGAGTGCTTCCAGTAATGAAACCGGAGTGACATAGATCGACCAGTACGAATATCTTCTAATCTTGATCAGCTCTTCTATGTCGCCCAAATCTTCTATAAAATCACTATCAACTTGACCAAGGCATCTATCCTGCTGCTGTACCTGCGCATCTTCGTACAAAGATATTTCCGAATACTCTGCCACACTCTGCTCAGCATCATCCTGGCGTACATGGTCGCGACCTCGGCCTCGTCCATTTGGCAGTGCACCCCCATCCCACGTGCTTGGGACAAGACCATTCCTGGAACCTGCATCAGTCTCACGATGAACTGGTACGCCAATGCTGGCTTCTCTATCGCCACCGATATCCTCATCATGGCGCTGCCACAGCATGTGCTCTGGAAATCGAAGCTTCCGATCAACCAGAAAAAGGCGCTCATGGTTGTCTTTGCTCTTGGCTTGTTCGTCACGATCACGAGTATCCTGCGCATGACGACGTTAGACTTTTCCACCACCAGCCCTGATACGACATGTAAGTCATCACTTGACTGTCTAATGGCGGATTTTGGCTTCATTACACTGACTTACATATACAGTCGACATTGCTTCCACCCTCTGGACTCTGATCGAAGACAACTTGGCAATCATCTGCGCCTGCCTGCCCATGTGCCGGCTCCCCCTGACGTACATCTTCCCTACCGTCTTCGCATCCAAGCAAGGGTCCTCAAACGGGAGCTCTGGCTACGGCTCAGCGCCTCGATCGAGCAAGGGAAACTTCACACATGCCGGCACCAGCCGCAACGACTGGCACCCATATCAAGGGCGGGAGGAGAAGACGGCGACCCACCTCACGAGCGTCCACGCGAACCGACCCAGGCTAGGGGACGACTCGAGTGAGGAGTACATACTCCAGTCTATACCAAAAGACAGCGGGCCGAGTAGTGCGAGGAGGAGCGAAGATGTCGAGGACGCAAGGGCGATACGGAAGACGACGGATTTTCACATGACTTACGACCAGGGAGGACCAAGGTCTTGAGCCGGCTATGGACCCAATGATGAAATAGTATTTGTATCAACAGCCTTAATACCGATTACATAACAGCGATCATATTCTCTTGAATGATGTAAGGGTGGCGGGAGGTTGAATCAGTATCGATATCACAGAGCATCTTGACTGCACAGAACATTTTCACCTTGCTGACCAGCCTTGCTAATCAACCACCCAAAGCCCAAATGCTTATGACCGCTGAAATCCAAAGCAAGAAGACCGAACGATTTAGCCTGGCATAAAAGCCGATGGACGTTGTTGTAGCAGTAAGTACCGCCCCAGAGTGAGTGGGGGTAGCAGATGGGATGTCGGTCGAATTACTTCCAGCTTTGACCCAGAAGGGTTCACTCCAACCAGCCTCTTTGTAAAACTCCGTGTCCGGGTCGAGATCCTCGGTAGTCGCGTTCATGGGCATCAGATAGATACGATACAGAGAAGCCGTCGAAGTCAGATTCATGTCGAGTGGGACGGTCCAATTGTAATGAACCTTGGTGTTGTTGCAGGAGTCCATCGCTTGCCACACAGATGTGTTGTAAACGTACGGCCAGAACACTGAAAGGCAGCATCGTCAGCTCTGTCTCATTACACATAAGTCCATTCCATATATTTGAGATCTGTCTTACATGTTATAACCACGTCTGGTGAATCTTTGCTCTCTTCGGGCGCTAACAAAATACCTCTAGCATCTGTGATTGTGGTGTTCGGTATCTTCCCACCATACCACGAGATCGTCACGTTGTCCCCCCGATTCCATACATCATTGGCCTTTGGAGACAATGCCTGGCCCATCTTGTAGTAATCAAAAATGCAGTCCAAAGAGTCTCGGCCGGTCAGATCCATGGTCGCTTAAGGTCTTGTATGTGATCGGGTGGGTTAGCTTGAGCGTTGAAAGGTTTCGCAAGGAACATGAGACTTTCGCGAATGCGAAATGCATCCAAATATACTGGTTACCCTGATTAGAACTGAACCTGCTTCATGCTTTGTAGAATGGAAAACCGATCAAAGCTGACTGACACGCCGCCCTCACCAAAGATGACTGCATGACAACGCCTGCACGGATGCAATTCAATCCTTGCAGCTGAATTTACCAGACAAGGCTGGCCAATGATACCAAAGTGATGCGCAGAATGAGCACCCATATCATAAACATGCAACCCTTACAAAAGGTCTGGACTGCACTTGGAGCCTGATGGGTTAACATGAGTGCTGGCTGCGCCGTAATTACGGGGCTTTCTTTTTCTATATTTCACATATCGCAATAGGATGCAAAGCCTGCCAGGCATCAATCAAGTGCACACAGGCTCCGCACGTCGGCCTACGTTGTTCGCAATTGGTATCTGAATTCTGCCATATGAACACTTTTCAAAGGGCATTCTGGCTCTGTAGGTGCCACACCATGAGTGACGTGTCGATATTATCGGTGCGTGGCCAGCAAAAGATCAGACTCAGCCCCCGTGGATGCCTGCGGTCGATTGCATACAGCCTCGCTATATTCGGGCCGAATCTGTAGTCTCTCTTGCAACAGCGATGGCACTTATGATCAGGCTCGTGGGTCGGCAAAGTTGACCATGATCGTGATTTGTCATGGAGAACGCCAGCCTGATGGGACATGGTCAGCGTATACATCACAATGAGCAGCTAAGATACCATATATAGTCAAGCATGTAGCTAAGCTTCCTTCCTCCAGGTTACAACTTTACCTGTGTGACAGGGAGTGGAATTCAGACTTTGATTAACCGTTAATACCATTTGACACCGACCGGAGACTCCAACACCTTCAAGAGATGGCAAGCAAAGAGAATGCAGACACATTTTACCCGTTTTACTCCAATGCCATAGGCAACATCACCCCCTCAGACATTCCCCTCCCCGAAAACCCTACCCTCTCCACTGTTCCCCTTTTCTACGCAATTGTGCAGTTTCTCACATCAGCTGGAAATCTGACCAGCAATTGTGACTTGGCGACATCGTGGTACAAAAGCTGTCGGTTATGGTCGAACGAGGATGCCAGCTTTGGGTACGGCAATCAGACCTTGAACATCGAGTTTCTGCGACTAGCAGCACCAAATCTTCTGCTGGATTCGACTCCGTCTCAGGAGGAAACTTGGTATAACTTGATGGCAAACACGACTGGTCATGATGTAGGCGATGCTGTCCTCAACATCACCAGGCCGCCGATCGAGCTTTATTGCGGCTCACAAGAGCTTCTTGCCGAGGTCCAACTTCCTCCTGTTGAGACGGACTGTGAGAAAAGTCTTCAGAACTGGTACTTTCCTGGATACGAGAGTGTGGATGAAGTGGCAGCAATTATGACTGCTTCCAGTAGTCTCCCGACTCAATATCACAACATTTCAATTCAAACCTTTTGGGGCTGGTACAACTCGCAGAAAAGACCTTCAGTTGAAGAGATACACGAACAAAAGATGGAATGCTTCCAGTCAGTCTGTGCATCGTTGAACTCTTCTGGGAATCCGGATGTTGCCGGTATAGGGGTAAAAGATCTCCATCAACTTACATATCCTGTCCATCCCTTGCTGACTTCGAGGCCAGATGTTTATCTCCTACATTATCGAAGCCATGCTATCAACCCTATTCATTCTTGAGACATGCTGGCACAACTATCAGAACCGGAAGCCGCCCTTGGAGACTGGTCTCCTAGCCGAAGACTTGGCTCGTGGAACTTTCTACGTATCAAGAAAGGCGTTTCTTGATAACGGAGTAGTGTTCGTGCTATCTCTAATTGTTGCTCTTTTGGCTGTTGGGTCACATGAGACAATTGTGTATAATGGTCTGATCACCCAGTTGGCTTGTTATTTCGCAGCCAGCGCCGTCATTGCCGTTGCAGCAGTACCACGTCGCGGCGAATCGGACAGCGGAACGCTCTGGGTCGTCTTGATGGTATGCATATTACTATTGACAATTGCGAGCAGCATATCTGGCCAATATGACACTTCGGCTTTGAAAGGACCACATATTACCCAGGATATCGAGGCGCCAATGACAGCCGGCTTTTCGGATATTTTGCTGTCAAGTGTCCCGTTTCTCCATTACTCAGTAGGGATGTCAAGCTTTCTTAGCTCCTTAGAGTTTAATATTCGATCTCAACCATTCACGGTGTCTTCTTGCCTCCTGTGGAGCGTTTTCACGTCTCCAATTACCAAGTTCCAGGAGAAATTTACATTCGCTACATTCTACCTTGTCCTCATTGGGTATCTTATAGCACCTCTCTGCTTCTTTGTATGTACCAGACCTCAGGTAGTTCGTTCCTTTGTTTTTCGAAACCGTTGGCTTGCCAAAAACTGTAACTCCATCATCTTTTGGGCTAGAATCATGTTTTCTCTGTTTGCTTGGCTAAGTATGTGCATGGGTCTCATCTGCCTAGCTCTCTGGCGACACTTTCAGATGATCGCGATGGGCTCTTATTACCCAGAGTCAGACGTTGGTTATGGGCAGGTATTGGCGCTGTTCTTATGGACCCCTGTCTTTGTTAGTTTGTTGAAGATAATGGCAGGAGAGTTACCACAAAGTAAGTCTGTCATTCCTCGATATCAATGCAGTTGCCGGGCAACTAACATATGTCTTGATAGGCTGGTATCCGAAACTTTCGGCTGTGTCAAATTGGAATCCTTTCAAAAAGGATAGGGGAGCTCCTTTGCAGAGGCTGCAGCTTTATCCGCTTCTCCCTACGAATTCACATTTGCCTGAAGCTTCAAGGCATCATACAACTCATGTCACTGAGCAAACAACAAATAACACGGTTGAAATAACACCTGAATCTGCTCAAATGAGGCCATCTTCACTTGTCACTAGAATAAGAACAGAAGCAACCAGTCCACAGCCAAAAGATCCACGACGTATATCCACACAGTAACTCGATTCGTTTCGCTGGGGCAAGCGTCATTGAAGGAAACTTGCAAACAAATCCTGGGCTGTGCATCAGCGTATAAGTTTCGAACACAGAAAATGTAGACTTAAATTCGACGCTTGATGTTTTTGGTTGCTTTGCCAAGTTGCGCACTTCCGTCTTTTATGTTGAGATGATGGGAATAAGTAATTAAAAGTCAGAAAATGAGCTACCGACCTTCTGCCTGACGCGCCGTAAGACCACCACGAGGAAGATTGAGCTGTCGCTGCCCGACGCTCGGTTGGTGTAGAAACATTGCTTTTTCCGAGTGCTGTGGCACTCACCGCCACACTACAAGAACCGCTGACCAAACAAAAGCTTCCATTTCGCGGCAGCCTGCCAAGAGGGGGTATTGTGTAACGCTAGACTGCTAGCTAAAATCTCACAGGAGAGGCTAGAAGTCCGAAATGTCATGTCTTAATTTAGGGCATGCGGCGGTCGCTTAAAATGATTTACCTCCCCCATCATTTTGCTAAACTCACGAGCTGTGCCGATAGACCCTTGAAAACGGAGTGGTAATGTCGGAAACACTAGGGGACCCGATGCGCGACCATTCAATGCAGTCCTTTGAAATGCGCGACACTCCTACCGGATACCATTCGCCACTCGAACAGCCACACATCTCACGCTCCGACAACCTCGACAGCACCTACGATTCATCAAATCTTTCGCCCCAGTTCAAGAGGAAACCTGTCGCGCGGCTTACCTCATTCCCGTCTTCAGAGCCAGGTGACTACGGGCTGGGGGTAGAAAACAGAGCCTCAAGTTCGAAACAGAGCCTTCTGCGGAAGGCGAGTGCAGCATTACCAGGCAGCCAGTATCATTGGATCCTCGAAATATGCGCGGTCATCTTGAGCATCCTGGCGCTAGCAGCGATCGCCATTCTCCTGCCTCTCTACAACAATAAGCCCTTGTCGACATGGTCGTTTCAGTACTCCTTCAACACAGTCGTCTCAATCCTGGGGGCAACATCGAGAGCAACACTTGCGTTCGCAGTCAGTGCTTGCATCAGTCAAGGGAAATGGAATTGGTTTCGGCGAAGAGATGACACTATCATGGTGTTTGATCGTTTCGAGGAGGCAAGTAGGGGGCCATGGGGCGGTGTTAGATTGCTTTGGTGGTCAAGACTCAGGTAAGATTACGTCCTCGCCCACGAATCTGTCAGTTGTGGTAACAGCCTGCCAGGCACTGGATGGCACTCGGGGCGCTATCAACCGTGGTATTAGTCGGCTTTGAGCCTTTCCTTCAGGCTATCATTACCTTTGAAGGCAAAGAAGTATCAGTCACGGATCCTATTTCGAAGGCAACGATTGGCAAGTCTAGCAAACTGGACGTCGGGTCTTTTTCCGCTATCACAGGAGCTGCAACAGGAATATCAACCCCAGATGGAACACTAATGCGCCTATCAATGCTTTCAAAATACGACTTCGGTGCTCTGGCCTCGATATGGTCAGGCTTCTCGACTCTGGGTTCGGTGGAAGCACAAACACCGTCATTCAGCTGCTCCTCCGGCAATTGCACATGGGCACCTTACGCATCTCTTGCAGTGTGCAGCACTTGCAACGACATTTCAAAGCACATAATCAAGTCAACTGGGAAAACAAATGTGAGCGTAGGAGCGGAAGATGACACTCTGACCATGGTCAACTACGTCGCTTCTTTCTCTCCGATTGCGGTACCCAACATCAACACAACGTACACCAGATACGACATCGAGGAGTTAAAGATGAACATCTCCAACATTGACTCGGCAGGTCTGGCGGCTATACAGGGCAAGGATCTGGGCTTCAGGAACACAGAGCTGACGGCCAAAGCCACATCTCAACCATCGGAAACGCTTTCCTTCCAGGACTTCAAGACCCTCATTGTTTCTTTTGCCATGATGGGAGCAAACCAGGACTTTCGTGAGAATCGCCAGCCTTGGGAAGACAGCAGTGTTTCTGCACAAGAATGCGCCTTGTACTTTTGCACCAACATTTACCAGTCAGACATTGTCCAAGGCGACTTGCGAGAAAGCATTCTCGGAACATACACCGATCGAAATCTCGACTCGTTCCTTGCAAAGGATCCCCAGTATGCAGCCAGCTCAAAATGGTACAACGCAAACACCAGCTACACCCTCTACCATGGCAAAACGGACATGAACCGGACTGACCTGCAAATGTTCATCTCAAAGGAACATTATCATACTTCTACAGGCCTGGAGGTTGAGCAGGATTTGAAGTTCAACATCTCTCAAAATGCCGCCGAGTCGATCACAGGCTTGTTCATGAACGAATTCGCGCGCCGCGAAAGCCCCCTGGCAACGAAGCAACTCGTCTATCCAGCAGTCGGGTCAGTTGGAACTGCTGGTCAACCTCATGTGATAGACAGCTTGGGTACATCCAAGAATCTCACGGCCACCTTTGAGACGGTGGCAGCCAGCATGTCAAAGTACATACGTGATCTCTCGCTGGAAACCGAGCCAAATGAGGGCGAAACCCAGAATTGGATAGTGTTCATCCGAGTCGAATGGGGATTTCTATCTCTACCGATTGCGGCACTTCTAGGAGGATGCTTGTTCTGCCTGCTCTCGATAGTTGAAACAAAACGACTAGGTCTCCCTGCCTGGAGAGGAAGCTCATTAGCAGGATTGGCACATGGGCTTGATAAACAGTCAAGGGAGCAGTTAAGAGAAGCGGATGGGCTGTCACAGATGGATGAGCATGCCAAACTCTACACGGTCCGCTTCGTGGACTCTGATCTAGGTCCGGAGCTGAAGTTGAGTCATGCCCAAGGACAATAGTGTGGATGAGTTGGAGCACGTGGTGTGACGGAACAGGCCTTTAAATGATTGACTGAAAGGACCCTGCGATGCAACTTCATATCTGCCCATGACCAATAAGATAGGGTGCCATTTTATAACCATAACAGTCAAGAAACTGGGTATTCCTTCTCTGTCGAAACCAGTGACTCAAATACCATTCCACGAGGTATCTCTTTCCACTGCTCACTCTCATCCAGAAGCTCTTGACTTGCCTCCCATTCTTTGCGGACCATGTTCGCATGAGTCTCGCTCCTCGGTGTAATCTTTGCAGGAAAGGGTCTCGGCTGAACGAGGAAACCGTCAATGAGATTGTCCGCATCTGGTACGATTTCGGCGCCCGTGTCGTCAACGGCCCTCTCAAGATTGAATGCCCACAGCAGTCTCGAAATGCTCAAGAACAGAGATCGATCGGCAATATGCATGCCCTGACAGAGACGGCGGCCAGCCCCGAACACGTAATGGTCTCGTTTCGCTGGGTCGCCATTCATCGCCGACTCGAATGAGTTCTGATCATCGCCTTCGTACCGAGACGGGTTGAAAGCTCGAGGGTCCTCAAACTTATCTTCGTCCATGTTAATGGCCCAAACGTTCAGCATAACGCCAGCGCCTTTGGGGATTTTATAGCCCATGTACTCGTCATCCTGAATGGCCGCATGCGGCAGACCGAGAATTGCTGTTGGCATCCATCGCAGAGTTTCCTTGACGCAAGCTCGAATGTATGGCATCGAGTCCCAGTCATCTACGTTAGGGAGTCTCTGAGTGCCGCAGACCCGGTCGAGTTCCTTTTGGGCTTGTTTCTGTGCAGCAGGGTACAGAACCATGGCTTGAGTGAAACCGACCAGTGTTGCAGCGGTCGTATCCGACCCGGCCTCGAGAGCAGAACCGGAAATATATCCAGCCAGTTCATCAGAAAAGCCTAGTGTCTTCTGACTTTCAACAATTCCCACGGAGAAACAAGGCTACTGAGTATTAGTCTCGTGGGGTTCTTGGGGCATGTAAAGCTTTTGGGACTCACCTTCGCCGTGCCCCGAAGAACGCGCTTCTTTGCATCCAACCAGTGGCCAACGTACAGGGAACTTTCTTCCTTGTGCAACGCCTCGGCGTATCTCTTTCCAGGAGAGATAAAGCCCAGATTTCGCAGAGGCGGGTATACGTCAAGGAGAGCGGCTGTCTGTGATCCTACGACCTCACTCCACTTCTCGACGCAGTGGTATAACTTCTTTAACTTCTCGTCATGGATGCTCGTCGTTCGAAAACCAAACACCATTTGCGTGGTTAGAGAATTGGTGAATCGGCGAATGTGGTCAATGAAATGGCTAGGCTCGTCCAAAAAGCCAGCAAGCATCTGCTTGCTCTCGAGATCCTGATACGGAACATAACCCTTGGCTGCGCTGATATGTAAAACCTGATGAAAGATCTTTCGGATCATGCGCCATCGTTCGCCGTATTTCTGACACCTGTCAGTGTTTGAAGCCCAAATTCCCTCTCCATCGGCGACCTGAACTTACCATGAGAACCACACGAAGATTGTTGCTGACTACATTTCCAAGGTAGACATCGGTGCGTGATGAGTATATGCTGCTGCGCTTGTCTAGAAGATCTTTGACCGCCTTGTCTGAAGAGAGTACAATCATGACCTGGGTTCCTAAAATGAGGGAGTACACAGGGCTGCCGAAGATATCGTGGTTAGCAGAACGTCGGTTCAATGCGCGTTTTCAATCGTGAAACTTACCCATACTCTTTTGCCCACTTCTTGAACTGGTGATGTGGTTGAGCCGAGGGCATTTGATGCAAATTCCCAATCAAAGGTAACGTGGGAGGCCCAGGAGGGTAATCTTTAGGTCGTCTTCCAACATTTCGCAGTTTAAAGACGATGATGGCAATGATAGCCAGCGGAACAAAGAAGGTGTAAACCATGACGAATGGCACTTACCAAAGAGTGCGGTAAGACACATCAAGTCGAAAGACACGGGGAGACTGGCCCAGATAAACCATTTTATATTGTCATGTGTAACCCCTTCACCCTGAGTATGCAGCCAAGATATGACACAGCGGTTGCCTCCGAAACACTCTGGTGGCATTTGACGACAGCCAGCTGCCCCTCATCACGAACCTATCATCTCTCACCGCGGGTAAAGCATTCAGACAGCCAACGTTGCGTTATGCAAGGACGGACGCAGAGACAAGGGAGAATTTCCACCTGTCTTTTATCCGAGTGCTCGTATCAGACGACAAGAGAGCCACTTTTTGGACCGCAGAACCATAAGCTGCAGGAAGGTCTGTTGGTCCCATATGCAGCCAACCAATGATCTACGAGGCGAATTCCGGCTGGGGAAATGCAATGTAACTGCTTGATGCGGGACCGTTGAGCGTCGACCCATTTGTCATTACAAAGTGCCCTCGAAGTCAGGGCTGATGAGAATTACCGCGATGCCATCATGCAGTTGAGGTAACAGTATCACATAAGCTCTGCACAAGTGCTGACGCCTCGGCAGTGAGCCGATTGATATGCCGTGAGTTGCGGGATGAAGGACCAATCATGTCTGCGTCTGTTCATGAAGCCGGGGGGCAGGCACGTCTATTCAACAATTGCTCTCAGCCTGTTGGATTTCATCCATGTCAAAGGTGGAGTGCATGTAGTCCCACGGTCTGTGCATAATTCATCTATGGAATGGCACCGTCAGCAACACTCCTGATTGTTCCATTCGCTTTTGTGACGAGTGACGACAATGTGTTCCACGATACCCGACTACCGGGTCAATTAAGAAGCATACTAAGTCAAATAGCACATGAAGTTAATCAAGTCTGGTCCAGAAATGATGACACTCACAAACTGTTCCACAGGTGCGCTTTTGCAGTTGGTTGAGGCAATCATCGTAGGTCCTAAAGCGATGAGACGCTCCAGAGCTCACAGTTGTGTTTTCGTATTCCAGCCTTGCGCACGCTTTTCCCCTGCTGTATAATGCGAAATATCCAAGGAAATTAAAACGCCTATAGTAGAAAGCCGTTTTTGTGCTTCACGTTTCCTATCAAAGGTTTCTTCGCAGATCTTTAAGGAATTCAGTATGTAAGCTCTCAACTGAGCATACATGCACGCTGTTATCCTCGACTTGACATCGAAAAAGCCAACAGGGGCGAATCACCCTTTTTATTCCAATTGGCTGTTTTGTCTCCCCTTTCAGTCTCGCGTTATGCTCAAAAAGGGAGTGTAGCATTGGAACCTGTTTCTGGCAGAAAACGAGGCCTTGCAAACCTTCGCAAGAACCCCGGACGATGTTCATGCAGGGGCTTCACACTTGGCTCACCACGTCTTCAGCATCTCAAAGCTCCCCACCAATGTGCCCATCAATCGCACCATTGATATGATTGCTCTTACTAACACAAACTTATTGGCATTCGTTATGATCTATTGGAGGCCTGCCGGATCTGCGTCCCTCTCCAGCCTTACCCGCGTGTCAAGGCACCGCTGCTCAAGCGCACTTGACGATGCTGCGGCGTGACACGGCTCACGATCTTTCAATAGCTTCGTCGCAGATATCAGCGGGTGATAAAATGCAACCAGAGTTCCTAGGCTCAAAGACATATTTACGGAAAGGATATATCAACCTGACCTGACTATGCATTCCTCCAGCTCCCCAGCGACAAGCAAGATATTTTAGGCGAGTTCGATCGTGAGAGCCCTTGCTAACATGAAGGAAGCTAGAGTCGTGGCAGGGGGCTTGGCAGGGCATGGTCGATAAACTTCCCGCACAGTGGTTCCCGCTGCGGGTAATCCATAACATCCCCTTCAAAAGTCTAATGCGTGTCGAGGTTGCATCGCGCAAGTACTCGAGTGATGAGCACAACTGACAATCAGAAGAGAAGTGTTCATTAGAAAACTAACTATTCCTGTCCTAGGTGAAGAATTCTGGACCTGCGTCGTAGGTCTGAAGATAATGGTATCATCAAAAAAGTTCAAGTACCCGGCGCCAATAACTCCCAAGAGCCAACGAGACTTTCATAATCGACACATCTTGATTATGGAATAACTCATTGACATTATCTTTTAAGTGAACACACGAACCGCCCGCCAGTGGCTACGCTCATGAAAATCCCTTCGGTTCGACGACCTTTGGTGATGAAACCTGCACAATATCATGCTGGACTTCAATCGGGCCTGACGGTTTCCTCACCGGCCCAGAATACCTCCGACCCGCCTCGATGTGCGTTTCCACCATCGGAGTCTGGTCAGCCCCGTATCCACCAACATCTATCGTATCGTGTTGTTGCTGACGGAACATCATCGGTGAGGGCACGCTCTCGCTGTCCGTCTGGTTAGTGCCTTGGATCGGCAGCGGCGTGTCGCGGCTCGAGTCGGTGTGGCTGAGGTCGTAGCTCGCAGCGCCATAAAGATCGGCCTTGCTATCGGAGGAATCGGGTCTTCGCTTCGAGTAGCGGTTCGGGCTGCCGCCTGTGCTGCCTTGAGGCGGGGTGATGGCAAGTTCGACATCGCGGTGCTTTGAGGTGCCACCTGTTCTGCTGGAGCCGTAGGCGTATTGTCCTTGGTACTTGGAAGACTTGGTGATGCGGCTTGAAAGAGCGGGGATGAACTTCGATACGAGGGGGCGGAATGTTGGGAGGCATGCGCAGGTCAGGCCACAGCAGAGTTCGCCGACAGACCAACCGGCTGTCTCGACGTTTTCCCAGGTAAAGTCTTCGGCTTGATGGAGGAATCGGATTCGGACGAAGGAAATGGCGCATGTGCTGTCGATCCGGTTAGACGCTGTTATGGATTATTCATCGAGAAGGGAGCACCTACAAGAATCCAAGGCAGAAGATGCCGATCAGAACGTACTTCTGGCCAGGAGCGAGCTTCAAGTTGCCAATGACTGGGAGAGGCAATACAAAGACGAGCAGGTCGGTGATGATGTTTCCTGCGGCGTTGATGTACCATTGGGGATAGTTAGGGATGCAGGTGCCTTTAACGTCCTTATCCCAGAAAGTGGGAATAGGGGTGCAGATGAAGATCTCGACGAGGATTTGTGAGATGCTCCAGCCTCCGACGAGAATCATCGCGGCGATAAAAATCTTCTTCATCTTTTGGATGGCAAGTACGCGCCAGTACTGGAAGAGGAAAGTCATCTTGATGCCGGCAAGCGAGGCATTGTAAAAGACGATTGTGATGTAGAAAGTCTGCGAACTGTTAGGAGTCTGTCTCAATCAACTATCGAGGGTTGGTGAATGTAATACCCTCAAGTAGGACTTTATTTGATCCTCATTGAGGAAGTAGACATGCGTGCCGAAACCATTTCTCGTGTCTTCAAGGAGTTAGTAATATGCTTGGACAGCAGCCGTAGCATCCACTCACTTATCGCAACAGAGAAGCCACAGGCAAATATTAAGAACTAGCACATGATATGAGCATGATGTCGAGGCTATGTGAAGGCCGAGGGTGGTTGCTCACAAAAGTGAAGATAGCGGCACCGTCGTCGATACCGAACTGTCGAAGCAGGAAGACTCGGGTGTATGTTCGTATTGTTACGGCGAGGAAGGCGACTGAGAGTACAAATGATGTGACGCCGATGATGAGTGTTTGCCGACTATCGTTCGGGTTGATACCAGGAGGAGCCTCCATGATGCTTGCTTTTGTGACGCTCTAGAAAGCGCTGGCGAGTCCTGGGAGGAGGTGAAGAAGAGGAGGAGACCGGGTCGTGAGCGAAAGCAGCTGTGGCGGGTCTGGCATGCAAATATCTGGTTTCGTCTATATGGTTTGCGCTAGTCAAGCTCGGCGATGGGCAGAACGAATATAAACGTGGCGGTGGGATAGACGGACGGGGAAACAATGGGATGACAAGTCACCGAGGACGTTGGCCTATCTTTATCCACGAAGCTTGGCTATCTTCTGCCCGGGCCACGGGGTTTCTCCTGGATCAAAGGATTTGATTCGGACCCGGATCTCACTCACGTCTGGGAAAGGGGAAGAAAGGATAGAGGGTGTGAGACACTACACCACACGAGGCAAACCCGCAAAGAGTGCTACACGACAACGAGCGCAAACTCGAGGCCCGCCAGGTTTTGCCATATTCCGTGTCTCATATGGGTCTAACGTGGAGAACGTCTGTAGGGATCGACGGATCTATTCCCAAGGATCCTCCTCTGGTCGATTGCCTTTTGGAGCTTTTGGGGATGGCCAGGAACCGTGCGCACGGTAAGACATGTTGCGAGAATCAATGGGGCGTCTTTAACGGTGGTGGATTTGGACGATGCCACATGGACTGGCCCTTTGAGCGACGACACTACCTACGACTACTCGTACCTGTCGAATTGGATGTCTCGTTCCCCCACCGGAGCACAGCCGTTCGCCGCGGCGGCGCGAAAGCTGTTGATATTGGCGTTGACGTTTAGATGAACCTTGGCCACGCTCTCTTGCGTGCGGGATGTGGGAAGAGGAGGGTGACAGCAGCGTCGGGCAGTGGACGGTCTGCGGTGTTGCAGCACTGCTTGTCAGCAATGCGCCTAGGGTTCCAGGGACGCAACGGTATTATTTTGGTCGCGGCATATAGGACGGTCATCTCCCGTTACGCTGGCATGGTAACGGCGCATCCATCTGCCTCTTCCCACGAGCCAGGGTCATCTTGGTACGGCATCTTTGCCTTCTTGGAGGAAGGTGAACGCGATTCAGTATCACCGATAGAGAGACTCGTGGTGTCTCAGACCACCTCCTGGCATGTGCAAGTATGGGTCTCGACATGGAGCGGGCCTTGGTGGACTTGGTGGCCTGCCATCAAGCTGGAGCAAGACGTCTGTGTGTTGACGAGATAGCCCAATGATGGCCGTGTAGACATGGTGACGACCTTGACCCGCGGGTGTCCGTAGTTGCATACCGTCCCTGCTAGCCGTTGGAGAGCGGCCGGGGTAAGCCCATTCCGAGGCCCGGTGAAGTGAGGAGACTTGACGAGCATCGCGGGGATTTTCTCAGGGTCATAGCTGACTCGCATATGGACGTCCCAAGAGCGCGACTCTGGTGGTATTCTGTATCGACGATCGCCGCTGGCGGGAAGTCAAATGGAATTGGGCTGGTCGGTAGGCACTCTGCTGCTTAATAGCAGAGTTTGGTGAGGATCAAAAAGCAAGGCTGATGGTCCTTTAAAGACGCTATTGTTCATCTGATCCGGGGACAGACTTTGGTGGCCGGAATCGGGTGAAACAGAGACAGCGTCTAACACTACGGGCCGGACGGCGGGCTTTCACTGCTGGAGACGATAAACGCGCGCGGGTTGCTCCACGATGCGGCACTGCAAGCGGGCTGAGGGTCGTTTCTGGACTGGGGCTTCGTCTAACCGGACCCAGAACTCGCAGGTCTTTGAGAGAAGAGAGAGAGAGAAAGAAAGGCGCATCGAGTTTCAACGTCCAGACGGCTACGAATTCTAACGCCTCCGACGGTACTGGCTGGCGGCGCTCAACTGGGCAACTTCGGCGACTCAAGCCGAACAAGTGGCAGGACTGGCGCTGGTTCAGTGGTTCTAGCCTCCCAGACTGGCGTCGGGGGTTACCTTGTTGGCGTGTGAGACTGGGGTCTTGTAAGTCATGCCATCGAATGACTCTCATTCAGGGCACGCAATGGAAGACGAAGGTCTGAGCGCAAGCACACTGTCCTCGGCACGACTGGCCGGACACGGTCAATCTTCACCAACGCTGTTTTCTTCGGGCAATGAGAAGAGATGCTTCAGCGAGAATCTTGATAATCTTGCCCAGTTGCCCAGGACCCTTGGTGAGACTATCCCCCATTGAGGACAGTCAACAGCGGTCGCATGGGGAATAAACTTTGGCCCATTGCCCGCTGATGGACCAGTGGCGCTCGTCACAGCTCGAGATCGGCGGACTTATTGGCAGTTCTTCAAGCCTGCCCGGACGCCATGATGTGATGACATGCGCCTCTTTGCTGCTGGCACAGGGGCACGGCCCCGGTGTCAAAATGTCATGCTCCAATCCTGCGTTACTGCAGATAGTGTTGCTGTTCCCAATATGCTTCTCGGGGCAACTTTATCGTCCATCAATGGAACAAAGCATGGCGACAGCATCTGGTCAAGGAGGGGTGCGATTACCCCGCCTACCATTGACTCTGTCGCCTATCGAAGAGGATGATGACTAGCATGTGCACGGCCATCATGTTCGTTGTTGTTTGCTGCCATATCACTCACTTCATCTCCATCGGTTCAATGCCATCCATCCCACTCGGATTGCAAGCGTGTGTGCACAGGGCATCTCGTGGCCATCATAATGAGATGGTGACAGTTGCATGGCGTCGGGGAACTGATCCTCTGCAAGCTCAATCACACCGGATGACGATATACAAACTATTGGGCGAGTCGGATGAGCATCCAGATCTCGCGAGGCAAGCTTCTTCTGTTGGACATTGCGCTCCGATGTAAGCGCGTCCTTGCTCCCTCACAAAAAGCCTCACGAGGCAAAACGGGCGAAGGAGGTCAAAGCGACACACCGTCTGAATCCCGCGTCCGGGCCGCACCGTTAAGGGTTCAACGGCTCAGTTGTCAAGAGAACGGTGCGTGGACTGTGGCAAACAGACGAGCGTTGACAATCTGGGATGGCCACGATGTCCGTGTTTGGTCTCATGAAATCGAATTCGCGATAGTCCTCCGTGGAGAGGATCGCTTAACCCCTCTTGCACATGACTCTAAAATCACCAGATTTTCTGGTTCAAAAGTATCTGAAACAGCCTGAGATGTCGCACCGGCGATTAAACGTGACTGCAAATCAAGCTGGTACGGCTCCGCAGGTGAGGGGCAGTGTGCTGTGATGGCTGTGTGATTGTGAGGTGAATGAGTCGCTCCCCGGATCAGAACGTGGGAGTCAGGAGTGGTGATGGCGTCTGTTCCTGCTGCCCAGGACGGGGTTCGACCAAGACCCTTGGGCCCACGTGCGATACATGAACTGAAGCAACCGCGGATTGGCGACTGTTGAAGCTGCAGACACGGAGATATGGTTCCTGCTTCAGCGATTGTAAATCAATCACGAGTTGGCAGGGTGCTCGTTGAATCGCGAAAGCGACGATCCATGGCGGACCTGCGGAGATGTTCCCACTGAGTAGAGTAATAAGGTCGCAGGCAGCGAGCCGAGACGCAGCATGGTGCTTATCTCGCGCAGAGTCGCTTGCTGGCGAAACGGGTTGCTCCATTATTTGCCCTGCTTGCAGTTGCCCAATTCCACTGTCCAATCCTGCTTGATCATTTTGATGGATCTTGAATGAAGTTGGATTTGTAAATATTACAATGGGATACGGCGGTTGTTTCTTGGAGCACGTCTGCTGCCCTCTGTTATTTCTCACATGCGTATGGACACACCCTGCGATGGATGCGGCGGCAGAATGAGGACACCGAACTCCGTAAAGTTGTAATCGCGCTAAATATGTGCAGAAATGCTGCTTCTATCCGCTGGTTCAATACACCCATGTTGGCAACTGGTTGGTGAGTGGTTGGTGCCTGATTGTTACTGAAGAGAGTGCCGGGATATCCTGAAGAAGCGCGGTGGTAAGCAAGTTACGGCACTACGCGAAGCTCCAGTAGCGCATCCGTTGTAATTGCTGTTGTTCGGCACTGATTGTTGCTCATCTTAGACCAGTAAGTATGCTTAGCGTCATCTCGCAATCATCGTCCAAATGCCGCGGGTAGGTAATCCGGGAGTAACAATCATTGTCCGTCCTCATTGCCGGGCATGAATGCCATCATCCCGATCCGAGGCTCCCCGGTGAATCTAGCTTGACCGATGTGACATTCTCGGTAGCAATGCCTGGCTTGCGGGCTGTGTCCGTGTCCTTTCGGTGTGGTCGGTGATAACAGTGGTACGGATGTCAATAATCAGGCTGGGCTCTTCGCAATCAGCGGGTCATCGTCCTTGATTACTTGCACGCTTGAGGAAATCCAGCACCGAGGAAGCAACCTAATGACTCGCAGACTTTGGGCAGAAGCCAGCAATCATGTTAAATAAGGAGGAATGCCGCTGCTTTTGATGTCTTGGACCATGCGACGCTGTGCTGACAGTGCCCCTGGCATGTGCATCCATAGCGCCTTAAGGCGCCTCTAGCCTTTCTAGCTTTTAGCGGCGTCTGTTAATGAATGCTGACGACGCAGCCAGCTAGTTGCGGCTCAGGGGTAGACTCGTCCGAGATGCCAGCTGTGGACGTCGTTCAATCGATTTCGAATGCAAGACATTTGGGCAGCGCATGGGCGAAAGGATTATCTACATGTCCCGCGCACCGCAGCTCAATGAGATAAGGCCCAACTAGGTGATGTTCGCATTCACTAATTCAGTCGGAGGACCCCGGACAAATGGTCCGGGGGCACTGACATCACTAACGCAACTCAGCTGATCTTGGGTTTAACTCTCTTTCTTTAGCAGTGCTGTCAGTTACATCCACTTTAACTATTCCATTGTTTGTGTGTTACGTTCTAAGTTTTGTTTTCCTGCTTTTTACTTCTCAGCAGTCTAGTAGTTACCCCACAACAGCTGACAATACGAGGACAACACTGGTGGGACAAACTCGCGATCCTGAGGTGGACCTCGTTCGCCGACCCTCAGAGATTGGAATAGCGCTCCGATGTCGCAACAGCTGGCCGG